GCTCCAACTCTATAAAAGCATGAACTGTAAGAGCTGACAGAAACTTTAATAATTTATATTAAATATTGATGTGAATTATTTACTCCATTCACACTTAAAGCCAGGAATTGCCTACCAGAGAAAAGCAAACGTGACAAAAGGTCAACACGCCGGTGAGAAAAGGCAGGCGGTGTCAGGCATGTGTTATCTGAACCATGCTGATCACCTTGATAAGCGAAGAGCATTAAACATGACTGCTGAGCAAACAAACAAAGCATTCTTCTCGGGGTGTCAATCGCGGCTCCGACAGCCCGGGCTCGCTCGGGGCTCCGCGGCTCCGGGCTCGCCCGGCGAGCGCATCCTCCGCTCACAAAAACACGCACCGAGCCGCCGCGGGCACCGCAAAAACAGCCCAAACCTGAGCGCACGTCCAAGCGGACCGCGCTCCGCAATTATTAACACAGCCTTCATTGCGGTTTAAATATTGCGTTGCATTTGTAATAATTTAGAGTGTCTAATTCTGCTTATATTTGTCTGCGGTAGACTGCAAATGTCATTATATTAATGTTTCACACAAATCAATGTTTAAATTGAAAAAAGACAGCATAATATCCATATCATACAACTTTACCATTGAAAGCTGCAGGAACAGAGCTTGATAAATGCGTTAAATCCTGAAAAAAAAAAAAAAAAAAAGACTGCTTTGCATTCCCTACATGCCATGATAATAATTTATCTCTGAATGCAAAAATTCCTTAACTTACAACAAGCATCCTAAAATACACCACACGGTAACAGCTATAATTTGGTATTTTCAGATAAACAAGAAAATGTGTCAAACTCAAAAATAAATGAAAGGACATGAAAGACAGCTATAAAATAAAATAAATAAAATAAATCCCTGCTCCTGGCTAAATTAATATTGACAAGTAGGGTCAAATTTATCTTCTACAGAGGGGGAAAAAAAAAATCTCTGGAACCACTAATCCCAGTACTCAAGGTGAAGATGGATATTTAAACACAACAAGGAGCACCAGCAATGGGAAGTGCTGATGGCAAGTTGCAGTCTCAGATTCTGTGAGACAAAATACCACAAATTTCTCTAATGCCCATAATCACCAAATCGCCATTTTCTCAACTAGAGAAGTGCTCTGGTAGAAATCCACCAAACAACCAGGCTGCTGATAATGAATGTGTTGGAAACAGATGACCAAATGACAACCAAGACACTTTATTCAATTTATTTTTTCCTAGTAGGACATTTATGAAGAAAAGCAATGTCATTGCCATAAGGACAGTGCAAACGACCAAACGTTCTGCTGCACGGCATCATTTGTAATACATCTGCTGGCAATTAAAAAAATACATTCAAAAGTACAACCACTGGGTCAGTGGCAAACCTTGGTACTGAAGCATGAGATGGAAGCAAAAGCTAAACGGTTCAAGCTGAGCTGGGTGAACATGAACACCCAGCACTGACTTCTTCAGGTAGTCAGGGAGCAACAAAATATGTATTTAGCAGCTTGGGGGGAAAAAAAAACCCACAGGACTGCACATAAATATTTTAAAGAGCTAAAGAAAGTAACAATAACATCCCAGCTGATATTTAGAAAACAGCCAAAATACACACACACACTCTCCCACACACACGCACGTAAACGTATGCTATCAGTGCCATTTCATTGTTCCACCCGAATCCTGCGTTCCGGCAGGACCGAGGGTCACAGCGGATGACCGAGAGTTGTTCGCACTAAGCCCTGGCCGAAAAGTTGCAATGTGCGCAGGGGCAGAGCGCAGCCCCGGCCTTCCCGCGGGGTTAACGCGGCCGGCGGAGGCAGGCAGCCCCGGAGCGCTGCCCCGGCCTTCCCGCGGGGTTAACGCGGCCGGCGGAGGCAGGCAGCCCCGCAGCGCGGCCGCGGCTCCCGGCGCGGTGACAAGGGGCGTTCCTGCGCCCCGGCACGCTCAGCAGCACCGAGCCTGGCGGCGAGGCAGCCCCTCCACCGCAGGCACGGCAGAGAGCGGCTCTCTGCGCTTCTAGCAATAAAAATAAAGGTAACTTGCACGGGAACAGAGAGGAATTAACCCCGTGGCTAGCACGCGGTTTGTCTGGTTTTCAGAGCTTTTTTATTCATTCTTTGACACCAAAATCTATGCAACGTTCTTAATGAATATTTTCATCCTCTCTCTTTAGACATAAAAAATAGTTGCAGCAGCCCGAGCAGCCGAGCAGGCCTTTCGCTTCCCCTGCGGACACCTCCTGCAGTCGAGAAGTTCATTAAGTTTTATGATCTTCCCAAGTCAGTCCTGCTTATAAGCCTCACAAAGGCCACAAATCTGGCAAACCATCATGTATGCCATTAGGCTTTACTGGGAAATGAATGCTATTTAGGGGTGGTGGTGACAGTAAATTCGGGGTTGGTTGGCAGCTATCATTGTTGCTGCTGGACTTGGGGAAATAAATAAATAAATAAATAAATACCTGTAGATGTGTGCACCGTTCTGCACGTGAATGCAGACATTTTTATAAACGTGTGATCCTGTCTCTACAAATGACTTTTAAAGACAAAAAACCAAATTCTCTATCAGTGCAGTCCAGGACCTAATAATATGTTGCTCCATTGGGAAATAATTGCACCTCCCAAAGACATTTAAGAATACAAGAATGAATATATTTTCACTTCTTTCTCCATAAGAATAACCAGGACCCCAGGTTGAGCAACATCCTGGAAGAAGCTTAATAAAATCACCAGTCTGAAGGTGTTTTAGCCAGTAAAAAAGAGCTATTAAAAAAAACCAAACAATGGTGCAAATCAGTTTTTGACTCCTTGTGGCAGGACGCGAGGAAACGGAGTGTGACACAGGTATGCAACAGATGTGAGCGTGCGTCCAGTGCCACCTCAGAGAGCAGCACAGCACAACCAAAGGGAGCCAAGGCTCCGCACCCGCTCATCTTCCTATTTATTGGAGGGGCTTCACTAGAACTCTGGTATAATTTTTCTTTGAACTAATTAAAGCCAGAGGTGGCAGTTTCTTTATGAACACCGTGCTACCTTGTGGTTGCCTCTCAGAATACACACTGCTATTAATAGCTGTAAAGCACTTAAATGTATTATGCAGCACTTTTGAAAATGTTAAAATGTTAAAAAAGAAATGTCAGGCTAAATTCAGTAACTCAGTGATTTGCTTTGTACATGGCAAATACCTCACAGGGAGAAAAAATAAAAATCTTCAGCTCCTGACCCTGCGTGAGGCTTTCAGAAATGAGATGCATCCATTAACCCTTGCTGGGAAGTGACAGAGTGTCTCCATGCAAACTGAGGATTCCTCCTCGTGCTCTCTCCCATCCAGCCTCACAAAGTCCTCGCTGACTGTACTGAAAACTACTAAAATGTAAATAAATACATAATTCAATATAAAAATTATTTAAGTATGGCATGACTTGTTTCTGAACAGACATGACCTCCTCACCTCTGGAGGAAGACAGTGATGAAGCCATCACGGCAATTCCCACACCCAGGTAAACTTTGGTTTGATCAGGAAGAATTAAACGCCAGCACATGACCCCATCGGAGGCAGCTTTAAGCACCTGGCAACTGTCGGACCACAAGACAATGCAGAGCCCTAGGCAGAGAGGGGGACACCTCTGCTTTAACTGCATCTCAGACCCTTCCTCGAGCTTCCAGTTTAGAATTGTTTGAGCCGTTCCCTCCGAGAACAGCCTCCGGAAAACAGGCTACAATTTATTTTCACGTTTTCTTTGCTGTAGCACACTAAGTAAAGCCTGCACAGACATTTCACCTCAACTGGGAGACCCTGAGTGAAGGTCCCCTTCCAGGAAGAGTTTTTGGTGGAGGTGTGGATCCATCTCCATCAATCACTCAGAGCATTAATCGTGTCCCTCCCGTGCTGCTGGGCTGGCAGGAGCTCGCCTTTGGGCAGGCAGACGCCTTCACTCTTTGTTGGCTCCCAGCGATCTCACAAAAGAGAGGTAACTTGAAAACTTCCTCGACTTCTTGCAGCACAAATGCAGGACCCCAGCTTACAAGTGATCACTGAAACACCCCGAAAGGTTTCAGACCAGAGCCTCTTGCCAGGTTCCCCCTCGCCCGCGAGACGGCGGCGGCCTCACAAACACGCAGTAATCCCACTGCTGAAAGGACTCGCGTTTTCTTCGCAGCTCACCTCTGACATGTGGCTGACTACACTTGCCTTTCCAAACACTGAGGCTAAGCCCTCTGCAAATAAAGTGACCGCGGGACCTACGCCTGCCTCCTTAATTGAAATGTGCCTCCTGCAAATGTCTGAACACGGAGGGCAGGTTGCTCTCTGCCTGCGGAGCAGGACGGGCAGAGAAGTTTAGGGAAAGGCAGGAAACAAACACAAGCCGAAGGAAAGGGGCTACGAGCCGGCCGAGGTGGAACGTAGGTAGGTGGGAAGGGAGAGGGATCATTCCCCTTATCCCGGGTAATATAATGCAACATAAAGCAGAATCAATCTTAATATTCACAACACAGTCAATACCCTAGTGCTTAGCTGTCAGCAGGAACTGAAGTGGATCCCCGGTAGCAAAGAAACCCTTGGACATAAAGCACCATAATTCACAGAGAACCGCTCACTCCGGGCTCCACAGCTCAGATTTGCAATGATTTCACGTTGGGTTGTTTTCGTCCAGGTTTGTTTTTTCAGCATGGAATTAAGCAGAACGTTATTGAGTATCACATAGAGCTAAAAAGCCAGGCAATGGCTTAAGCTATATGTGAATAATTGGCTGTTCATTTCTAAATTCAGTCATAATAAATGTTTTTGTTATTGTTAAATGTTCCTACTATTGTCAAACGCTCTTATTCTCATTAAATATTATTTTCACCAAATGTCCTTGTTCTCGTAATACAAAGCAGAATACTTTGTAAATTTTCTTCTTTAAACAAACAAAAAATTCTATAAATTCAGTGATGCGAAAAAATTGCAAAAAAATCTCCTAAAATGCCCACAAGAAAAAGCACGGAGTTTATTCCTGTCGCGTTAATGCAGACCAGAAAAACCCGCACTTCTGAGATGAATTTTGATAATTCTGGCGTTTAAAAACCCGGCGCCCGGGAGGCGCCGGAGCAGCGCCGGCCACAGGAGCGGGGTCGGGGCGCCCACGGCGGGGCCGCCTCGGGTTCGGCCCGGCGCGCCCGCCCCTCACAGAGCTCACGGTCCGGTCCCGGGTTAAAGCCCGCGGTCACACGGCCCCGGGCTGTCTTTCACACACCGCCTGACGGTAACGCGGCAGCGCGGGCGCTCCGGGGCCGCGGGGGCCGTGAGGGGGGAACCCCCGCGCCATTTCACGGCGCTCCGCCGCCTCACGAGCCGCCGGGTGCCCCCGGCCCCGCGGGGCTCCCCCGGCCCGGCCCGGCCCCCGCCCCCGGCGGCGTGAGGGGCGCCGGGCCCGGCGCGGCGCGAGGCGGGAGCGCTAAGATGGCTGCGGCGGCGGCGGCGCGGGCGGCCCGTACCTGTTTTCTCCTTGATCTCGCAGAGGACGCTGAACAGGGCGGGTTTCATCCTGTGGCAGTTCAGGGCGTGTTTCCTGCAAGAGAGCACAGGACAAGCGGTTAGCGCCGGGCTCCAGCAACATGGCGCCTTCCCCAGCCCCGCGCTGCGGCCGCTCGCCCCCCGGCCGGGGGTCCCGGGGCCGCGGGCAGCGAGGGCCGGCCGGAACCTCCCTCATCCCGCTTCGCTTTCATGCGGAATTATCTTTGTGCAAACACCGCCCGAACGAGGGGGAAAAACCACCCCCCTCGTCCCCGTCCTGCGATATTAGAACTGATTTATTAAGGAGATTGGGGAGAGGGGGGGGAGGTGTACGGAGTTAACATTGTTTTTGTATTTATTGTGATTTAACACAGCCAGGGTTTGGTTTGGGTTTTATTCACACACACACACCCTCTCCTGCAGCAATATTTGGTCAGATTTATAATTCATCTGCTGCCACTTTGAGACAAGAAAAGAAAGAAAGAGGCAAAGTTGTACTTTGAGGGACGGCCGGACAGACAGACGGATGGACGGCGGCGCAAAGGCCGGAATCCACCGGACAGCGTCCAGCGGCCGCGGGCAGGGACCAGCCACAGCCTCCCGCGCACCACGGCAGAACCATCGCATACTTCTACATTTATCATATCTATTGTTTTTTTGTTAAGGAAAGAAATCATTAAATAGCAACTTGGCTCTGCCTTGGCTGCTGGTAATTTCTCTTACGGCCCCAAGAAGTTACTCTTAATTGTGAGACTCCGGGTCTCTGCAGAGGAGCAGGAAGGAGAGAAACAAAAACCACACACACACACCAAAAATAATTTAAAAAAATAATAATATTAATAATAATTTTTTTAAAAGACAAGGTTTAATTAGACGAAACCAACTTTGCTTGTGCCTCATCCAGGCTTTGGTCAGTGATGGTCATGATCTGATGGAGGATGTCGCCGATGTCCTGCTTCCTGCCGTCGCCGTCAGCCCCTTCGTGTCCGTGGGGAGGCGGCAGGGCCATGCCCCCCTGCACCGAGTGCCCGGCCAGGTTCACGCCGGCCAGGGTCTGCAGCATCCTGGACTGATCGTCCATGGCTCCGGGCCGGGCCGCGCTCCGGGCGGTCACGGCAGCGCCTGCCCCGCTCAGTCCCAGTGCCGCGCTCCTGACCGCGCTCTGCACACACGCCACGGAAAAAGGGAAAAAAAGCCAAACAAAACAGTAACAAAAAAATGTAGTATTTGTGTTTTGACCGGATCTCAGCTGTTTATTCCACTCTCTTCTCCTTCCCAGGGCAGTAAATCACTCTCTTCTTTAGTTACAATCTTCTTTCATCATCATCATATTGGTGCCTCGGATAAATGAGCTGAGCAGATTTCTGTGAGGTTTTCCTGGTACAATCTTCCTCCAAAGCTTTTTTTTTTTTTTCCTTTTTTATGTTTATTGTTGCTTTTTATGTCTTTCCCCACTTGTCCAAAAATCTTCTTTGCAAAAAGGCAAAATTAAAAAAAAAAATTAAATACAAAATCAAAAAAACTCGCTTTCAAATCCTTCAGAAGTTGGGAGGGTGCAAACAGCAAAAACCACAACAAACCAGCGAACACCCCCACCCCCAAATTGCAACATAAAAAAGCCAAGAAAACACAATCACAGAGGGAAAAAAAAAATTAATCGCCCTCCCCCCCCAAATAACAAACGATCCCAAGTCTGTGCACGGGGGTGAGACAGCAGCAATCAAAAGTTTGAACTTGTGCAAAGAAAAGAGCGGAAATAACGGGGAAAGAACTGTAAAAAAATTAATTACACACTCTCTGCAAAGCAATGTGCAAAAATATCGGCCCGCCGGAATTTATGAGCCCCGCGCCCGGTGCCCGCGCGTGTTTTATGTTGTTTGATGGCCGCTCCGGTGAGGGATTGACAGGCTGCCAACGCCACTCACTCACCGCAGACGTGTCACCCTGTGAAGGAGCCGAGCGGCGCGCGAGAGGGAGCGGAGCGCCGGCCCCGCCCCGGTCCGCGCGCGCGGCTCTCCCGCCGGGCCCAGCGGCGCCCGCGCTCCCGGGGCGGGCGGGAGGCGTCGGTCTCGTAGCGGAGCGACGGGCGCGGCGGCCAATAGCCGCGCGGGGGGGCGGGAGCTGGCGGCAGCGTTGGCCAATCAGCGCGCGAAGGGTGGTGCCGTGCCCCCCCCACCCGACCTCGCGTCCCGCCCCCGGTTGAGGAACTTGCGATTGGGCCGTTCGAACGGTGGAGTGGGTGGGGCGAACGGCCCGGGCCCCGCCCCCGTTGCCGTGGTGACGGCGGGCCTGGGCCGCGCGGTCCCGCCGGGCTGGGCCCGGTACCGCCGAATTCCCGGGGGAGGCCGGGCCTGCCCTGGACCGGCAGCTGCGGCCGTGCGATGGAGTACCGGTACCGCCGAACTCCCGGCGGAGGCCGGGCCTGCCCGGGACCGGCGGAGCCCCGGCGCAGCATGAAGGGTCCCGGGCCGGCCTGCCGCGGCCCGTGCCTTGAGCGTGTCCCCGCGGAGGAGCTGCGGGACAGAACAGGAGCCTTTGGCACAGCCCGCGGCTCAGACCGTGCGTTACCGGGGCTAACTGCAAATTAACTCTTTGTAAATGTGCACAGAACCGCGGAAATGGGAAGAGAAAAAAGCACAGGCACCAAGGGTAATTACGAGCCCATTCTTTAAGAGCTTACATCGTGGCCACCCCTCCTCAGACTCCTCTCGCGGGACACTGCCCCGTGCACTGCAGATTCCTTCCGTTCTGCTCCGTTCTGCTCACGCTTCGGGCGGTGTCCAACACAGCCGCCCCCATAGAGACCTCTCAGGAGGTCCCATGCAATGAGGAGTCCCAGCAGCAATTAAAACCGTCCTTAATTGGCTGTACATGCTCTGTTTGTGATGGACAATCTCAGTGGAGCCGTGCCCGAACTCAGCCCTCATCCTCTGCCCTTCCTGGTGGTGTGGCTAATGCCCCAGGCTTGGCATGGGCCAAGCAGAGCTCCCAGTCCCGCCATTCCCAGCTGGCACCGCCATCCCACACCCTCACTCGGGCCCTGGATGTCACTGGAACCCTCTGACCAACCGGCCAGGGTCAGGTGTGGCTGGTGCACACAGAGATGGCTCCTGGTCAACAGATCTGTGCTCTCACTGTCCCCCCATGCAATCAGTAAATTCATTCACATTTCAATTACTTCACATCTTAATTACTCCACCATTGTCTGTCTTGAGCCAATGAGTTTTCAGGGCCATCCAGTTTTACTAAGAATGTTACCCCAAAGGCATTTTAAATTGGTATTATTGTGAATATTTCACAGATGCACTTGCATTTGTCCCCGGAGGGTGAAGTGTCACGGATGGAATGGGCAGTTCCCCCAGCCCCTGACCCTGCCAAAGGGGACAGGGCTCCCTGGCCCCCGCAGGGCCTCACCACGTCACTGGACTGCTGTTCTGGCTGATTTTCCGTACAGTTTTAGGAGGCTGAGTCCGTTCACCCCAGAGCTCTGGGCTCTGCCAGCTGCAGCCAGGCACTCCCAGTGAGCTGCCCTGTGCTGGGGCAGCTCCAGCCTTGCCCTCACTGCACTGCCAGCCACTGCTACCTGCTCCTCCAGGCCCTGGGTGGCACTTGTGCCACGCTGTCCACTGTCCCTCTCAGAGGCAGCGGCTGAGACTGCTTTCCTCAGGGATTAACAAGTCTCCTTACTTCCACAGGAAATTGCAGAGGCTGCACCAGCGAGTCTGGAAAGGTGATGGGGACACACGGCCAGCAGGCCAGAACAGGAGCCCTGGGAACAGCTGGGAACAGCTGCAGGAGGCCGGGGAAGGCGGCTGGGCACCCCTGCTCGCCCAGGCTGCCGTGTGGAGCCAGCCCGGAGCGCCGGGGCCGCTGCTCGGGGCCGCGGGCAGCGCTCGGGCCGTGTCCCGGGCAGCAGCGACCGCGGCTGGCCTTCATCCCCTCGTGTCGGTACACCGAGCGCTGCCCGCGCGCTCTGCTTTAAACGCCACCGTGGTTTTATTGGAAATAAGAACCGCAAATAAAACTGGTGCGGCCCCCGTGAGAAAAGCCCCCTGTGTGTCGCCGTGCGGCTCCGGTGAGCGCCGCGGGTGTCCGCGGTACCGACCCGGGGCATCCCGGGCCGGGCGGCCGTGCCCAGCGGCGCCCGTGCCCCGCTGCCGTGCCGCCGCAGCCGCCTCCGGCCCGGGCCGCTCCGCGCCGNNNNGCTGTGACCGGCGGCAGCGGCTGCCAGCCTGCCCGGGACGCGGCTCGGGGGCACCGGGGCTCTCCGGGAGCGCAGGCGGGGCCGCTGCCGCGGGGTCCCGGCGGCGGGGCGGGAGCGGCGCAGCGCGGGGCTAACGGAGCGGGGCAGGCGAGCGATGGGTGGCGGGGGCAGGTGAGCGCGGCTGCAGCGGCAGGGACCGGCACGGTCCGGCGGAACCCCCGGGATGCCCTGGGATGCCCGCGCCCCGGGGGAACGGGAGGCACGCGGCTGCCGGGGCGCTCCGGCCGGGTGCCGGCCACTCCATCCCGTCCCGTCACATGCCCCGTGTCCCTGTCGCACGCCCCCTGTGCCCGGCTGCGCTGAGCAGCACCGCACCCCAATAAATGCCTTTCGGATGGGGCTCTCGGTCCGGCACCGCCTCCCGCGCCCTCCGAGCTGGGAACACCGCAGGGCTCGGGGGGAGCGGGAGAGGTGTCCGGGAGACGTGGCCATGAGTCGATTTCCGTGCTGGTGGAAGTTTGGTAATTGACTAAACAGAGATGCCGGAGCCAAGCTTGGGTATCCTGAGTGTGTTCTACAGGGTTTTAGGGGTCGGGGGATTATCAGGTAGATGCAAGACTGGGAATTAGACTCTCTCAGTTACTTTTCCAAATTCAGAACAGCTCCATTCACGGACACTTTTTTGGGTTAGATTAAAAATAAATTGAGATCAGCATGTACGTATAGACTTGTACAGAAATAACTGAAGCAGGGAGAACCAGTTTAGTCAATTTCTGTATCAGTCATGTTTCAGGTCTTTGTTGTTACACCCTTTCCTCATCTGTTGGTTAAATTTACACCCAATTGCAACAAGTAACAAATGAAAAATAACAAATAACGAATGTTAAAATAACAAGTAACAGCTACATTCTTGTTGTGCATTTCCTTTGGATCAGTGGAGGCCTCGGCAGGTGGAGCGCCTGGCGCAGGGATCTGTGTTCTGTAGCACGAAATTTTCCCGACCGTTTGAAGTTGTGAGCGTGAAAAGCACACACCTGTATGAAAGGTCAGTTATGGTGACAAATGGCACAGCACAGGAGCAGCGTTCTGGTCACATCCCCGTGCAGGAGCAGCCCATCTCCCATGTGGCCGCTCTGTTTGGAGATCACACAGTCACTGAGGTTGGAAAGAACCTCTGAGATCATCGAGTCCAGCCTCTGACTCACCACCACCACCTTGTCAACCAGGCCAGAGCGTGAGTGCCACGTCCAGTCATTCCTTGCACACCTCAGGGCTGCTGATCCCACCCCTCCCAGGGCAGCCCTTCCAACCCGACAGCCCTTTCCCTGAAGAAATTCCTTCTGGTATCCAAAATTCCTTCTGACATCGAGGGCAAGTGCCGCTGGCTGGAAATGGGGATGGAGCTCAGGTGTTTCCATTTGTTCAGGTGCTGGCAGGGGCAGGTTGGAGCCGTGGGCAGAGCCCGGGGGTGCTGGTGACACTGCCACACACCCAGGGCTGCCCCGGGTGCTGTTTGTGTTAGTGCCTCTGACACAGACCCCAGGCTGTTTTAGTATTAACTCTGTGTGTGTGTGTGAGCTGAGGAGCTCCATCAAACTGTGACGCCTTGTTGGTCACTGTCAGCTCAGTTTTTATCCCACACAGCACAAGGGCAATCCCTCCCTTGTTTGCTTATTGCCTGAGAAGTGTTGTATCTAAATCCATTATTGTGAGAGCAAAACAAAGCTCCTTGAATATATTTTGTGTGCTCTTGAAAGAGACAGACCCAAAATTAAAAGCCAGAGGAATAAGGGATTCATCTTTTGCTGAAGAAATGTGAATCTGTCCAGTTCCATTTGACATAAAGCCCCAAAGGGGCTGAAGGTCTCAGGCATTTTTAAGTAGGTCTGATCATCATGAGTGTTTCTTAAGTCAGAAGCAGCTTGCATGCTGCTATATTTAAAAAAAATAAGATTATGATCATGTTTTTAACACAATAAAAATATTTACATGCACTCAAAAGCAGAATGGCAACAGCCTAAAGAAACTGGCCAGGACCAAAGTGTTTGTTTTGCCAGGTGCTGCTGTTTCAGGCACACCCCCTGGCTGGCAGTGTCAGACCACGCTCCGTGGTGCTGCTGCATTGCTGTGCTGCAAGCCCCTGGGCTGGCTGCACCTGCATCGTGTCCCAGGCTGTGTCCTGGCTCAGGCAAGGCAGCTTCTGTGAGCCCGGGCACTTCTGTGTGTGTAAAACCCAAGGAGAGCAGCATCTCTCACAGCAGCAAAAAGGTAAAATGGTGAAGCTTTCTGGTTCAGTTTTTTTGAGATTGAAGCTTGTATTGATGTATATGAAATTTATTAGGTTTTTTAGGCTCTTGAATATCACGCTGAGAACTGTGAAAATAGAAGCTCTAGTCTGATATTGAAGCACTGTGCTTTCATTCTCCACTCTACAACAAGATATTTTATTTATCACAGAATCCCAGAGTGGTTTGAGTTGGAAGGGAGCTCAAAGCCCATCCGGTCCCACCCCTGCCATGGCAGGGACACCTTCCCCTGCCCCAGGCTGCTCCAGCCCAGCGTCCAGCCTGGCCTTGGGCACTGCCAGGGATCCAGGGGCAGCCCCAGCTGTGCCAGGGCTGCCCACCCTGCCAGGGAACAATTCCCAATTCCCAATATCCCATCCAGCCCTGCCCTCTGGCAGTGGGAGCCATTCCCTGGGTCCTGTCCCTCCATCCCTTGTCTGTGGTGTCTCTCCATCTTTCCTGTAGACTCCC